GCCTACAGGAAATTCGACAATACCTCATGGACATAAATGCACGCATGCACGTCAGTTCAAATTGGGAATTTTGACTTTGATTTGATGATTCTAGAGGTCACCACTTGTTCATTCTTTATTCAACCATTTTTTCGACAATACCTCATGGACATAAATGCACGCATGGGCCTATAGGCAATTCAACATATGCGCCCACAGGAAATTCGACATACCCACCTACAGGAAACTCTACATATTCGCCTACAGACTACTCGACATACATGTGATTGCAATACTACCGGTCACATTAAAATTGAAAATTAGGATTCCCTTCTTTAACTAATAAATAATTGGAAATGGCTGTTAGAATTAATTTTTCATTTTTACTTTCTGATTCTTTTATTTTTCTCATTTTTCTTATTTTCAATAAAGAATATATTTTTGGGCTGACATGCAATTCGAGTGTTCTAATTTTTTATCTGCATTACCAACTGTTTGAACAGAATTAGTGAAATATTATTACTTTTTCGTACAGATTTTTTTGAATCTGTCAAAATGGCATATTGGAAATTTTGTACGATCGTCGCCAATCTTTGAGACTCTCAATAACTCTTTGCATTACTTTCATACGCATGGATCTTTATATGTATACCTTTACAAATCTTAAATCCCGTATCTAACCCCTAGATTTATTTACACTGGATCGTAAGTGGCATGTGTCGGCGTAGACAGAGCAAACAATAAGACGAAGTCTAAATAAAATTAGAAAATGAAGATTATCGAAATTATCGAAATAAATTTTATTTATTTTAACCAAACACCGAAGGAACCATGGTGATTATGATTTTTGCTTGTAATACAAAAATCGCAATAATAAATTATTTCAACCAATTAAACTCAAATAAAGAAAAACTTTTGGATCATTTCCCGGCACGAATGCATTGTCAACAGTTTTAGCTTATGAAGTAAAATAATATTTATTGAAACAGTCCCCTTTGGAATGGAATAAAAGCCTTTTTGTACAATGTATACTCCTTTAAATAAATTCCGGTCTATTTGAAATATGAACAAATGTAAACCAGACTTCCTTACACTGAACGCAGCGAACTCAGCAATGTAGCGAGCTCTGTAATGTGAGAGCTGTCAAAAAAATTTCTGCAAGTGAATTTGCCAATTTATTAGGACTGGTTCACACTGATTTCTCTGTTTTTCGCTATAATCGTTTGATGTCAAATGGACCGAAATATATTTTAAGGAGTATACAAAAGGAGGTAAATTGACATATTTACCTCCTTTTGTACATGTTTTGAAAAGTGCATATTTTTACTGAACAAAGAGAATTTCGGTGTTATTTTTTTGTTTCATCATGTAAAAGTGCCGTGTTTTAGTTAAGTCACCCAAATTTTTTTCTGTTCTGCGCGGAGACGCACTAAATGTGACATTATCCCACGCTTTACATGAACTTTGTTACACTGTGATATTTTTCAACATGTTTTACGCTGAATACGTCGAATATACACTAGAAAATATGTACATTCAATGAGCGTCCAATAGGCGTGAATATATATTGCAGTGTATTTTTGGCATATAAATAGCGTATAGACATATTGGTTTTTTGTTTTGAGATTTGTATCAGTGCATTTCACTGATATTTCTATGTTTGCCATGGAACATACTCAAAATTTGTAATCTATTGAAATAAATAGATGATAGGTAATTTGAGCTGGCTCAGTATAGAATCAGAGTTGATTTCAGTTGGTGGACAATTTTTGCTTCTCTAAGTAGTTCCAAATTTTGTACAAACTAATTATAATTATTTTTATTTTTTTTTTTCATTTCAATCAGTGCGTTGTTTTCAATCATTCTGTTTGCAAATTGTGATAAATCAACTACATATTAGATCGAAAAATTCGAAAACTAACTTCAAAGAACGAATTGTCAGTTTATTTATCTTCATGTCAAAAACCCGTGTAATGAATGATTATAAAGATGAGTAGATCACCATTTCTATTGGTGAGACGTAAAAGAACGCAAGTTTATTCAACTTCGTAGCAATAAAGAGAAGTATGTTTCATCGCAACAAATTTTTTTCAAAAGAATGTATGTATTCCGGATGGAAGCATTTTTATTAACTAAATGGATATAAAAATATACATTCTTTATGCTAAATTTACTTGACCAAAAACATGCATTCTTCTTTCGAAAATGCTTCCATTCGAACTAAATGACTGACTGTATGTAACTATGATCTAAAAATGTGTGGTTTTATTCAAGAACTTTTTCCCAGACGCACGATTGCAATCGTACACGATCTTATTTATATATTTACTATGTAAAATATCGTGCACGATTCCAATCGCCTTATAAATAGTTTCGTATGGAAACTAGTCGATTACGATGTAATTACAACACAAACAGCTGCTCACTCGATAATATCAAGTTGATATTCATTTCATACATATGTTGCACCAGAACAAAATCATGAAAATATAATAAAATCGACGATTAGTTTTATTGTCGCACAAATTTAATCGCAAAAATAACAAGGGAAACCAATTTTTCAATTTCAATGTGTTCTAACAGATTTTGGAGCTGTTATTGAAACAGTTGTTTTTCGTCCGGAGTGCAAAATGAACGGTTTTCTGGGGATACTTCTAGTGACTTGTAGCTTGGATTTAGTTCACAGGTATTTTGAACTAAATGTATCAATTAAGAATAATTTAATTTTTCAATTCATATCTCTTTGGGCAAGTGAGTTTTTAAACTTGTATGACATTTTGCGTGTTTTATGACGGTTTTTGGTTGATATTATTTCAGTGCATATTGGAGTTATGAATGCAACGAGCACAAGTGTAAGCGTATTGAATTGGCAAGTGGGAAAAATCCTACGAGTTTAGCGGCTTGTCAAATTTTCTGTGGCTTGGATCCGGGAACATTGTGGCCGCGCGTCAATGGAAAAATATCAATAAAAAAGCCGATGGTTCGATTTAATCCTGAAGCCATTCAATTCAGTTTTCACAATGCAGCCAAGCCAGATGATTGTTTTTGGCATACTAATAAACAACGTTTCCATGAGCAAATATCTAAAAAAGTACCGCCTTCTTTGAGTCTAACTAATGATGGCAGTCGATTGATGATCATAATCGATGTCGGAAATGAGAGCAACAAATTGGGCCTGAACACAAATGAACACTATAAAATACGCAGTCGTAAAGATCAAAACGATGGAATTGTAGTTAATATCACATCGGAAACCATTTTTGGTGCTCGTCATGCACTTGAAACCATTTCTCAGTTAATTATCTTCGACAATGTCCAGAGAGAATTGCAAATTGTTGGCGATTTTGACATTGATGACCGGCCGGCATTTCCACATCGCGGCTTTATGTTGGACACCGTTCGAAATTATTTCAATATTGATGCGATTAAGCGAACGATCGGTAATTGAATTGAAGAAATAGTGGAATTTTTCATATTTTTATTTTGAATAAGATACATTCAGCCATACTTCGACCAATATGCAGAACATTTAATACGTTTTGTTAAAAAAAAAATAATATCCATTTTCCAGATGGCATGGCAATGGTTAAGATGAATGTATTTCATTGGCACATTAGTGACTCACAGAGCTTTCCGTTAGTGTTGGATTCGCATCCGGATTTATCAGAAATTGGCGCCTATTCAACCGAAAAAGTTTACACTATTCAGAATATACGAGATGTAAGTTGAGTTTTCAAAGCGTTTTCCAACACTTTAACTCATCATTTCGATTTTCTCACCGAAAAATTACGCATTTGAAAAAAAAATTTACTTTTTGAATAAAAAAAATTTCAATTTTTTTTTATTGCATAACAACCAACTAGGTCTATGAATATGCTTATGCCCGTGGCGTACTTTTGCTACCGGAATTCGATGCACCTGCTCACGTAGGTGAAGGATGGCAAAAGAAGAACGTAACCACCTGTTTCAATATGCAACCATGGCAGGCCTATTGTACCGAACCACCTTGTGGTCAACTCGATCCAACGAAAGATCAATTGTATGATATTCTTGAAGACATCTACAGTGAAATGTATGAAGCGTTTGGACGACCAGATCGTTTCCACATGGGAGGCGATGAAGTGCACGAAGAATGTTGGAATTCGAGCAAAGAAATCCAGAATTTTATGCTGAATTTGGGATTAGAGCTTGATAGTAATGGTTTTATGGATCTTTGGGGTTATTTTCAAGCAAAGGCTGTGGCACGAATGGACAAAGTCACCGAGCCAAATGTACCAATCATCATGTGGACAAGCAGTTTGACAGACAAGGCACATGTAGGAAAATATCTCGACAAGCAAAAGTATATCATTCAGGTAATGTTGTCACTTTAAAAGAAAGTTTTTTGATTTTGGAAACGGCCTTTTTGAAAAGTCAAAAGCAAAAAAGCAGAAAATAGAGCAGAAAAGCACGAAAAGATCAAAATAAAGCACGAAAGACAGTGAAAAATCAGAGACGTTGTCTGAAAAAAATATTACCACGAAATCTATTCCAAACAGGTTTGGACGAAAAAAAACGACAACCAGGTAAAAGACTTGCTGGAAATGGGCTACAAATTGATTTTATCGAATGTTGATAGTGTCTATTTCGATTGTGGTTTTGGTGATTGGATGCGAGGCGGCAATGGTTGGTGTGGCCCGTTCAAAACCTGGGACAAAGTCTATGAAAACAATTTTACTTACTTTGACGAACGATACAGATCTCAGTTTTTGGGAGGTGAAGCCGCACTTTGGTCGGAGCAAATCGATCATTTGACACTTGACGATCGAACTTGGCCTCGGCTAAGTGCTTTGGCTGAACGCCTGTGGACAGATCCATCGACCAGTTGGCGGCAAGCCGAGTCTCGAATGCTCATTCACCGTGAACGTTTAGTTGAAAATGGAATTGCAGCTGAAAATGTAGCACCGTATTGGTGTGTTCAACACCAAGGCGAATGTGCCCCAAATGAAAAGAATGCATCAAGCACAGGTGATGTTTTGTTAAACACACAAAGCAAAACAGTTAACACAGCAGTTAGTTTGATTGTATTTCTCATTATACTGAACATTGTCCTATGAATTAAAGCTCACAAGAAAAGAAGAGTGAATTTTAACTTTATTCAACCAATAAAAAGAAACAATAAGCTTTCGATTTTGAAATAATTTTTCTTTCATTCCACTCCATTTTTCTTTCATTCCTGATCGAAATAAAGGGATTGAAACCAAATGTGAATTCACTCAAAAAATGGCATTTTTGAAGTTTGCATTGAAAATTTTATTTTAAATTCAAAATAACTCGATTAAGCTTAAAATAAATTGAAGAATTCAATAATCAGTAGCTGATGCATTTGAATTTAAATTGTCATATTTTTGTCCCAAAATCGTGATTTTGGGTCGTTGATCGACGATCATCTAATATTTCACCAAAATATTTGAAGAAAAGCGTTTTGTTCCACTCCATTTGTGGTTATAAATTGACTGCATTTGGGATCTTTGCATGAAATCGTAGCCTTTTCCATGGAATACTCTTTGAAACATCCCCAGCCGTATGGAATAAAGAAGTGATAATCTTGCAAACAATGACAATTCGGACTCGTCCCAAAAGCATTTGGTGGACATGGTCGGTCATCGTAAGCGAACGGCATACATTTGAGCGTAGTTTTATTCAAAAAATGTTTGTAAAACGTCTCACATTTACAATTCGGATAAATAGAGACTCCGTCTTCACAGAGTTTACCGCAATATCTCAAGTAGGTTTCATAGGCGTATCCTTCTTTTTCACACGTGCAATTTGGGTGTCGTCCTAACAAATTATGGGAAAACAGTTAGTTTGAAGAAAAGAGAGAAATTACTTAATAACTATTGCCTTCAGATCTTGGGAAATGACTATGAACAAAAGGTCAAATTAAAAAATCCATCACGGAAAACAAACCGGTGGATTCATCGGGACATTCATAGCATCTGGCGTATTTTGGTTCAAAGCCAGCCTTTTCGCCGATACAAGTGCAATTTGGGTAAATTCCGATCGAATCTCCAGGGCATCGCATACACCGATTCCAATCTTTCCGAAAGGTTAAGGGATGATCGCAGACGCAATTCGGGTAAATTCCCGTGCTTATAGAAGTATGGAGAAAAATCGTTTTTAATTAATAGAGAAAATGGAAAATTCTTAAGTTGCACTGGATGTCATCCAGTACATGACAAATTGAAATGATAAATCTAGGGATAAATAGCAGTTATTTCAAAGGCTCTGGGAAATCGCCAATGTTGCTTTTGCCTAAAATGTCAATGTCATTAACAGCATTGACGTTTTACTGACTTAAAAGCATTGAAATTTCAATTGCTTTGACGTTCTAGGCACAAATTTCCGAGAGCCTTTGTTAGAAGCAAGTGGTAAGGAAAATGGATTATTTATTCTATCTTTCATCACCGAAAATTGGAAATAGAAAAGTAATAACAAATCCAGCTCACCTATCAAAAGGACATGCACGACACTCATTTATCTCATTAAAAGTGCCCGTTTCACATGTACAATTGGGATATACCCCAAATCCATTCCAGGGACATCTTCGGCATTCTTCGCCATCAAAAACTTCATCGTCTGGGCATTCACACTTCGGGTAGTTCCCTTCCAGATCCAGCGGACAATTGAAACAGCCTGCTTTACGCCATCCGTAAAACCAGCCATGGAATGAATCCTCAGCTTTATAAACTGTTTTTGGGACGAATAGAAGATTTTAATTGACAAATATTGATAACTGTCCATAGCACGCTTCACGGGTGTGCGAAAAAGTAAAAACAAAAATAAATTTATCTATAAAATTATTATTTTTCATTTTATTCTGGACAATTTCGCTCTATGTAAGTATATTTAACGTGATCGTACCGTTTCCATTTTCGCACGTGCAATGTGGATACTTTCCATTTGAACCTGGATGACATACTCTAAACTCATTGAAGAGTGGATTGTAAGTTGCATTTTGGTTCTCGGCTTTGCAGTTCGGATAAAGACTATCTACAGTGCTTTCTTCAGGGCATTGCATGCATTGAAACAATTCTATAACACGATTATGGGCCAAGAAATGGGAAAATTGTTCAAAAATTGCTTCGAATAGAGTTAAAGCAAATTATTTGAGCAGAGAATTTCCGTTGTTTACCCAAATTTTGCTTCAAACATTGATCTGCTTACCTTTATTAAAGCCCTTGAGTTCATCGTGACACTTACATTCGGGAAAATGTCCAGTGCTCTCTTCAGGACAAACGAGATAGCATTCATTGAGATACTCATTGTACTCGTAGTTGCTTCCCGTGCACTTGCAATTTGGATAAATTGATTCAATTGTTGTGTTCTTCGGGCATTTCGGATTTGGGCATGAGTTGGTCACATTATCATAAATTCCACCATAGCGACAAGTACAATTCGGAAGTACACCTTCACTCATAGATGGACACATTAACTGACATTTTCTAGCTTCGAAATTGTAGCCAATGTTTTCTCCTTCGCAATCACACTTCGGAAAATATCCAATGGTATTACTTTTTGGGCATCTTGCTACAGAATTCACTGTATTGAAACTTGTGACCAATATGCAAATGAACACAACGATTTTCTGAAAATTGACAAGAAAAATCAATTTTTTTTACTTGTTTTGATTAGATAATCGTGATTTTTAACGAAGATAGAATCATCTTCCTAAGATTTTGTGCACAGAAATATTAATTCGACAAAGCCTTGTAAACTGTTCTACCATTTTTAACCAACAACCTGTTTAGAGCACTTTCAAGAAACAACTGAGTTTAAGTTCTCTTGATTGGAAGAACTCAAGTAGAAACAGACATATGCACGCAAAACTCGTTTTATTTAAAGAGAATCAAAAGTCATTGAACCGGTGAATAAACTTATTTGCAATAAAAAACTGAAGATCTTAAGTGATGTAATGCATAGTCATGAGCTTCGTCTTTCGAAAAACAGATTACTTAGATTTTTGATTGAGTCCTTTGTTTGATTATGATATCAAGTAGCCTTTTGAAAAATGATTCGTTTTTTTCTTCAGTTCAGTTAATTTCAAAATCGAAAGTGAATCGAAGCGAATCGAAAGCAAAATCAAAATGAGTGACAGATGGGATCCATTATTTGACCGTCTTCAACGAATAACAAGAGCTCATATTGACCGATTGGTAACATTTGTTCGGGTGACTCCGGATAATTCTGAAGAAATTAAAAGAGTTTGTATGCGCTACGTCGACGCTGTGAATGACGAAATTTACGAATATTATAAATGGCATTTGGAACGGCTTGGTTTACGTGACATGAGAGAAATGTTACCCGACTTCATACAGAATTTTCAAAGCAGCATTCAATTGACATTTCATCGATATATCTACGAGAACCTTCGGAGGGGAACCACACGTCAAACGTCATCAATCCCATTGGTAAAGAGAGCATCCAACATTGTTAATGACGAAATCTCACGTATATTTTATTCTTATATTGAAGAGGATGAAGAAACATTAGAATAGAGACAAATTTATTGCAGTGAATAATGAAGAATTGTGTTTTATTTCGATACAAATTATAAATCATGATTTATATAAAGCAATAAAGAAGACAACCTCGTTTTCCTTTCATTTGGACAATCAATCATCAGATTTAGCCGAGAAAAATTCACAGTAGCGATTTTTCGGACTACCACACTGTTCGTGTCCAATCTCAATAAGTGACAAGCACATCAGTAGCAGCATCAACATATGCAGAAAACAACAACAGTTGACTGTTTACACTCATTGTCGAGCTGAACAAGCAATGTTATCTCAAGAATAGTTCGTAGTCTCTGGTAGAAAGCAATTGAAAATACATTGGCCAACAAAGTGTATTCCTGAAAATATGCAAAATGTTATAGGCGAATATGTTTGAAGGTGATGGTAAAATCATTGACACAAAGAGTAACAAAGGAATGTCTGTGGAATTACATAGATTGGAATTAAAGAATGATGAATGATCTTAAAATATCCAACAAATCAAACTATTTGGTCAATGATACACATAAATTTCCTTTTAAAAATATATAATAATTAAATGAAGTAGACTTCGAATGAATTAGCTTTTTTTTGGCCAGTATTTTATTGACTTTAATAAGATAATACAGAAAATATTGTTCTGTTTTCAAATTCAAATAGTGAAACATAATTTGGGGCAATTTCCCTATCTTTTATCCGTGTGTTGATTTATTCAACTGTTTGAATATATGTAGAAGGAAATTGGAATCAAAATGGGCTTGAGAATCGAAATGTTTGTTTGATATTTATAGACACTTGTGGTGTCTTTTTTACACCTTAAACTGTTGGCTATTTATAGATGATTACATTTTGTAAATAAGATTAACACTCATAAAAATCTGCTCATTTTGAGCAAACAGTTCAATGAGTAAACAATTTTCAAGCTTGGTAAAAATGTTGTTTTTCACATTTGTCAAAGCTATAGCTCAGCTCAGATAGTACCACTTCATGTTATCTATATCTATGGTAAGTTTTTCGGTGAATATGTTGAAATTATCATTTTATTGACAAAATGTCGACATGTATGCCAGATTAGATTGCGTTTACTGTTCAATGGCACATTTTCTGGGCGCACTTCTTCGTTAGAAAAAAACACAATCATTTTGGCGAAATATATAGTGGGGTTGACCGATTTTGATTATATAGGTGTAACAGAATACTTGATTTATCATTTACGATATGATATTCGAATTGAAGTTGCCATTCGTTTTCTCAAAAACTCGTTTATCCTATTTTCAATGGTCGCCGATCGCTATTCTCCAAATCGAATTTCAGACAAACTGAGCCCTGTTTCGACATGAAATTGATAGCGATATCTGTTTTTGCACCTCTTTAGACCAGCAATACATGTTTGGTATCCACTTAACAACCGTGTTTTCACTTCTTCATGATCCAGAAACGTGTCATAAAATGTTCATGATTATCACTTTGATTCTTCCAGTGTGGAGTTGTGATTCTTTGGCGCTCTTCATATTCAGTTCCAACCGAAAGGGGAATTTCTTGAAATAAAAAAATAATCGTTTTGTTCATAGACGACTAAATATTAAATTTGTTTTTTTAGGCTTTTTCAAGACGCTAAATATATTTAGTGTGAAATATTCTTCCAAAAAAAACCAGCGATGGTAAAAATGAAGTGTAAAAACGATTCAATAGCGCATAGTTTTGAAAAACTCTACCTAAATTCAGATTTGTCTGATGTAAGTTTTGAGTGTTGTGGATTTGCTGATCAACGCGAGTTGATACCGGTTCATTCTCTCCTCCTTTCCGTCAGAAGTCCAAGCTTGAGAAAGTTATTCAATGGTTCTGCCCTTGGCAAAGGAGTTCACATACCATTTACAGTGAGATCTGCATCGGCATTCAAAGAATTTCTACAGTTTTTCTATTTGACGGAATTTCAGTTGACATTCGATAATTTTGTGGATGTAATCAATTTATGTGAACGATTTGAGCTAAAAGAATGTGTTAACACTTGTGAAGTGACTATACAGAGTGCAATAACAAATGACACCATATGCCAAGGTTATAAATTAGCACTAATCCTGAATTTGGATAGCTTTAAACAATTTTGTGCTAAAAAAATCAAAGAAAATGCCGCGGAAGTATTGAAATCGGACAGTTTTTTGAATAGTGACCAAAAGCTATTGGATAAAATTTTGAAGTTGATTCCATTCAGTTGTGATGCATCAGTGATTGTAAATGCCTGCATGGAATGGAGTAAGGCTGCTTGTGCACGTAACCGCTTGGAAATAAATTCAGAGAATTTACGAACTCAATTCGGGGACTCATTCAATCGAATTCCATTCGATGAATTGACCGTCGAAGAATTCTCACAGCAACTGATCACTTACAAACGATTTTTTGTCACTGAAGAACTGGAACAATTCATTAAGAAAATCGCTATCAATCCAAAGCAACACATTTCAGCCTTACGCCCACAACCTACGATGGAAAATGGAAATGATGTAATTAAAAATCAGCTACTCGAATGCAAACGACTCACCGACACGAATTTTTTAAACGTTTGGAAACGTTTTAATACATTTACCGATATTTTTTACACAAACAAACCACTGCTGCTCACCGAAATCCATTTTGCAAAACTGCCGTATACTGACAAAGTATTGCAATTCAATTATATTCTGAGGTGTCCCACTACAGATCAATGGCTGGCCTCGGGAAATGTCGACCAGTCAAATGGACACGCAGTGATTGAACATCCAGTCGTCATTGAAGCGCATAAAAGATATGAAACCATATTATATACGAAAAATAACACCGAGTTCAGTCTAAATATCAGAGCATTGGATGATAAAATTCGACTCGACGATGACATTGAAATCAATTTTCAACCAACCGATTGTGTGGCAGTTACGAAGCTCGTTTTTCAAAGACCATAAAATTGGTTTTGATTTGATATACAATCTTGAGTATTTGATACAACCATGATCGTGTACCATAGCTACATCCATAACCGGTTTTTTTTCAGCAATTATTCAGTAATTTTGTTTTTAAGAGTAAAACCCGGCCTTTTTTTCCCCAATTAAAAGTAAATTGTAAGGAAAGAGGGGAAGATAGAAGAAGACCTAAAATTTAAATAAATCTCGCCAAAAAAATAAAATCCAACGAAAAATTAGGCTACCAAACTAGCTTGTTGATTTTTGATAACGCAAGTTCAACTTACGCAACATTTATTTTATCTTAAATTCAATCTATTTCGAAAATAAAACGATAACAATAAATAAACAACATTTGCTGTTTTATTGCAAGCTGATTCTTATCAGTTGTCTTGGTTTGAATTTTTTTTTTTCTTTTTCAACGTCTTGTTATCAGGAATATGCTTTATCTCTGCTCTCGTTATCAATGACATTAATTTGCGTCATGGCTCTTCACTTCATATCCAATGAATATCTCAATCTAAGATGAAGCTCAAAAGTCAAGAAGATTGCAAAATAGTTCATCGATCGATACGATAATAATGGATTGTTTAAATGCAAATAGAATTATCATCTAGTTATTACAAGTATACTTCTGATTTGTGACTAGTGTTGCACTGAGTAATGGAATAATTTTCAAAATAAATCGAAATCAATTCACCGCATTTAACTATAAAAATCATAGAAAACGAATCGTACCGTTCGATAAAACGTTCGATTCGCACTTTTGTTCAACATTTACCGTTCAAATTTCAACCGGTACATGACTTTTTCAAACCGATCGATTTTAAATCAAACCATTTTTTGAACTGAAAAACAACAATCGCTTATATTCATAACAAAATGTAAACATTCAGAACGTAAACAACGACTTGAACGTAGGTTTCAACTTGAAATTTTTAAGCACATTAACTTTCGAATAATCGCAAAAAGCAAAACGTCGAATACGTCGTTCATTGAGAGATATAGTCGATACGAAGCGCTAGCGAATAATCGTCGCCACAACGACTATGCAATAAGAAAGAGTTTGGAATGACTAAAGAGAAATTTGGAGTAATACGAGTCGTATTATACAAGTAATCGATGCACGATCGCATAACACAACAAACGGTCGCAGTTCAAGCCGAAGGAGAAATGAAAATAAAAACAAAAGAAGAAACAGATGTGAAAAAACGACCGAAGAATCGTCAATGACAGTATATTTAAGAACGATAACGCTCACATCGGCACGCGCCGTCTTTTTATAGATTTACACACACAAATCACTGCCTTCGTTCGTTTATACCATGCGACATCGTGTCTATGTAGTGGTTATCACTCTGCCGCAAAATCATATGTTCTATTTGTGTGTATTGTGCTGTCGCTTCATGTGGAATATTGTCACTTGAAGTGGCCGCTTCCGAATTTCCTTTGATTGAGACCGCTGTTTTGTATTCAGGCATTTGGATTTCATTATGTTGGAAAATGAAAATTAATTTTTTTTTTTCCAAAATTTGAAGGTAACTGAAATTCTGAAGATTTTTCGGAGAAAAATGCGTAAATCTACGCTTCCTATGGCACAATTCGTCTTTTCAATACGTAGCATCGAATCTCTCATTTTCAACAGCAAACCCGATCCGCAATCACTTGGTATATAAACGAGACTTGACTTGCGCTGTTTACAATCGAACGCCGTATATACGCACCGTGTGCCTGTGATTGAAATGTGCGTCACTGATATGAACGTGTGAGCATGTGAGCGTGTATACGTGTTTGAGCGTGTTTTACTTCAAAATGTTGTTTTCATTCCGTCGAACGACGTGTTTTTGACAGTTCAAATTGTGTCGTCGTCCGAGTGGAATTGCGTCTATTCCGTGGATTTTTTTCTTCATGAAAATTATTTTAAAAGTTTTATTTTAATCATTATTTAAAAAAAGTTGAATTAAATCGATTGAAAAAAAAATTCGTTAATTTTTCAAAATGAGTTTAATCCGTCATCCGTGTCGATTATTATCACGATTATCAGCACCGGGACTACGATTGAGCGTGAGTTGGCATAAAACCTTTTTTTTGGTAAACCGCATAAATTAACCAAATTCCGTTCTAATATGAAAAGGTCGCGCAAGGTTTGCATACACAATCACCAAAGTCCGGAATACCGTCAGCAACACAGAAAATTCTACCCGATGAAACAAAAGTCATCGACTTCCCTGGAATTCGTCAGACAATTTACACTACCGAACCGATATTTCATCTGCCCGAGGATGTGGACTCCATTCCCATTTATCGCATTCTCGATCGAGCGGGAAATATTTTGGAACGAAGCCAAGAGCCTCAATTATCGCGTGAAGTGGTGCAAAAAATGTATCGAAATATGGTTCAATTGAGTGTTATTGATAAAATTTTGTATGAATCGCAGCGACAGGGAAGAATTTCATTTTATATGACCAATTACGGAGAGGAGGCAACACAAATTGGATCCGCATCAGCATTGCATCGTGACGATTTAGTCTATGGACAATATCGTGAGGCTGGTGTGTTGGTTTGGCGTGGCTTTACTATCGAACAGTTTATCGATCAGTGCTATGGAAATGTTGATGATAAGGGAAAAGGTCGACAGATGCCGGTTCATTATGGTTCCAAAGATTTGAACTTTGTAACGATTTCGAGTCCATTGGGTAAGAGCCTCTGAGCAGCGTCAGCTCTATGCTTTAAGATGGACAATTTAGCATTCGCTGATTAATTTTTAGGCAGAAATTAGTTCATTTTTTTAACTATTCAGAAGAAAATCCATTGAATTAATATTCTAACCGGGTTTTTTCACTTTCCAGCCACACAAATGCCACAAGCCGTTGGCGCTGCATATGCACTGAAACGACGACCAAATAACAATCGCTGTGTGATCACTTACTTTGGTGAAGGGGCCGCTTCTGAAGGTGATGCTCATGCTGCTTTCAACTTTGCTGCCACTCTGTCATGCCCGATACTATTGTTTTGGTAAGAAAAGTCAGCAAATGTTGATTTTTTATATTCCACTAAAAACTGAACGATGTTTTCAAGCAATGGAAACTAATTTTTAACCATGCTTTCAAAAAATTGGAGCAAAATTATGAACATTCATCAAAACTCAGCCGATTCAAGCGATCTAAACAACTATTTTCATTTTCTCCCCAAATTTCCAGTCGGAACAACGGTTTTGCAATTTCGACGCCAAGCTCTGAACAGTACAAAGGTGATGGAATAGCTGGCCGAGGACCGGCTGGCTATGGCATTCCAGCGATACGTGTCGATGGAACCGATGTGTTTGCCGTGTACAATGCCACAAAAGAAGCTCGAGCCTATGCAATGAAACACAATAAACCGGTGATCATTGAGGCAATGGCCTATCGAGTGGGTCATCACTCAACATCTGATGATAGCACTGCATACCGATCGGCTGAAGAGATTGAAGTGTGGCAAAATTCCGAGCATCCGATTAGCAAGCTACAAAATTACATGCAGAAAAAGGGTTGGTGGAACGAAGAGGAGGAAAGTGGCTATGTGAAGTCAGTGCGAAAGCAAGTTTTAGCACAAATTTCGGTGTCAGAGAAGAAACCAAAGTCTGATTGGCGCGAAATGTTTCACGATGTATACCATGAAATGCCAAATCATTTGGTGTAAGTTGAATGGTTTTATCAAAATTGGTTATCATAGAAAAGGAATAAAAATAAACGGTACTTTTTCATTCTTTTCAGCGAACAAGAACAAGAGATGGAAGCTCACCTCAAGGAATATGGCAAACATTACCCATTGAAAGACTTTTCCAGCTTAAAATGATGCGTTTCGAATGCGGAACAACTAAACCACCTGATTTGATACCAAAAACACTGATCTGATGATTTTACCCCAGAGAAGCATTTAAAATGATGTACTTGATTTTCTTTCCTGAATATGTTCTCCTTTTCTTCGTTCCGAAATTGGCTAGAGCCATTCAGTTTGTATATAATTTGCTTTTTATGTTGAATAAAAACGTTTTTTTATGTTCAAATCTGAAGACTTTTTTACATTGAAAATTGTCGATGATTCCAAACCAAATTATTTGATGAAATTGTTCGATTTTGTCTCAGAATAGATCAATTTTCATTGTCATATTGACATTTTCGTTTATCTCAATTCATTTTTTTTGCAATCGGGTCCGTCGACAATTGCTGCATTGAGCATGGTAGTACTTGGAACTGTCTTAGTACTGGGAACACCATGTGTCGTTGGCACTTTATGTTTTCCTATTTTCTTATCTTCTATTTTTCATTCTTCTTTATTCTGGGCTTAAAAATGTTTCGCATTTCGTTACATAAACTAGGGCGTTGACCTTGTTCCAGTTGTTTTGGTTTTCCATTTTGGTTTATTGTTTTTTTTTCTACGTGCAAAGATAATAAATCTTCTCTCGCGATAATTTTATCACAAATTATGACCCAATTCAAAAGATACTCGATTTCAAACTCTATCAATTTTCAATTTAAAAAAAAAACAATGCATGTAGTTTTAATGTTTAATATATATTTTTATTTTCTATGTTTAATTAATTTTTTTTTATAATTTCAATGCTTTTTTGCCAGAGAATGTGTCGAATGGCTATGAATTTTTACTGAAATTTGCAATATTTTTGAAAGCAATTGAAAAAAAAAAAGAATGCGTCATTGCTTTATGATCAAAAAAGTCATCATCTCTTGATCATTTGGTCATTGTCTTTCGAGTTGTTGATAATTGATACCTGTCTAAATTGAAGTACTTTTTTAAATACGTGATTATCTATCACATATTTATCAAGAGACAAGATAAGAAAATATTTTTAAAAATTCAAGTAAACAAAAAAATGGAAAAACCCAAATAGACAAACAAAATCAACGTCCTAGTTCATGTTATAAAAATCCGAACATTTTCGATTGGAAGCCATATTTAATCATACAGAGAAGCCGAAATGAGGTCGTTTCTTCTACTAGCACTGGCTTGTGCTTTAGCCAAAGTTAGTTATTCAAATCCTTTGATTGTGAGTGTTCAATTCGAAAATATTTCAACGAATTGATTTTTTGCTTTTGATTATAAAATTGAGTGAGATCTTAGAGTTTTTTTTGAGATTTTAGAGTTTTCAATCATCATTCTTTACAAGGTTAAGTGTTCGTGACCTCTTCTAATAAATTGTGTGGACAGAAAAGTCCATGAACATGAATGAATAAAAAAATCAGCATTAATTTTAAGCTAATAAAAAAAACATTAGACATTTTTGCCGAACCGAACCTAAATATTAATTCATTGTGATTTGTGTATTAAACACTTTTACAGACACCCTCGTCCAGCGATAACGTCAATAATGATGGTCAATTTGGCGAGGAAAAGAAATTCCTTCATCTGCTTTCAGAAGCTGAGGCCGGCACCGATGTATCCAAGGAGTTCAAAGAGAGATATTCAAACCGAACCGTTCGAATAGTCACCCCATATTTGAGTCGCGATGAAACAGTCGACTTCGCAAAAGAACACTTGGTCATTCGTGATGATTAAATTTTAATAGGACATCTTCAAACAGTCACTCGACTCTTGAAGCTTTTCGGTAACTTCATTCCACGCATGGATATCAAACAAACCAGCAGCGAAAATGCAGAAATTCTCGTAAGCGATCTCATCAACCTTCATTGCGGTGACACTCTAACCGAACTTAACCTTGCACTTTTTGAACCATACCACGATTTTTTCGACAGTCTCAACAATCCATTCAAGAAAGTTGAAAATCTCACGCTCAACGGCTACGTCAAAACATTGGACTCTCCATCTCTTACATTCGATCAACTATTTCCAGTGATGAAAAATTTGTCTTTTGATATCAAAGCTAACGTTCTTATGATATCAAATATTGATCATGAATTCGCTAATTTAAAGCATTTGTCATTAAGTGTTTTGTTATCTTATGACTTTGGACCAAGAATGCACGACTGCTTGAAAACATTAATCGGAAAAAATCCACAAATTCAAAGTTTGACATTGGTATATTCCAAGCGAGATTTAATGAAATTTATAGCTGAAAATTTGCCAAAGCTTGAGCACCTCAAACTTTTATGGAAATATGATTACGATGAACCTAATGCCTACGACATTCACTTTGATCATGTGAAAACATTGTCAGTACAATATTTGGAGAAAGTATTTGGTGAAAGAGAAACAAACGCACCGAGGAATCTACATTTCAACAATATAGAAGAGCTCGAAACCGAGTCATTCAATGGACGCTCGGAAACCTGGTTGGATTTAGTCGAACGGAGCACAAAATCAAAGAAACTGAGCATAGAAAAGGGGGCATTGTACGATAGTACGTTTGTGCACCTCATCTCAATCGCTCCAAACCTTGTGGAATTTTCAGCAAGAGTACGAAATCGTTTGCGGGACTATAAAATGGTCGATTTTATTCGGAGCCATGCACAATTGGAAAAAGTTCATTGGTCACGAACAATAGGCTTTCAAGAGTCAGTTGAACCACTTCGACGGGAAATCGGAGATCAATGGACGATTGAAACAGTAGGATCGCAGTATATTTTCTTGGCGAAAACATTGATTTTTGTACTGAATAAAAATGTTGAAATAAATGCGACTGAAGATATTGAATCTAGATGCAACTGATTATTATCAATAAAATTACGGTATTAAATTCAAAATAATGTACTTCGCTTTAGCCTAGGGGCATTTAACTCGAAAAAAATTCGTTTCATGCGAAGAATATGCGCTTCAACTCATAGTATGTGGCGATTTCTTCGTAATATGCGTATTATGCGGTGCCTATTCGTTAGAAGTGCACACATTCGATGTCCGAATACTGCACATAGACCATTCATACTGCGAATAATTTCGCATGAATCCTACTAAAATGTTTCCTTCTCTGATTGGTTATACGCCACAATATCGACTATTTTGAATTCAAAGTGCAACGACTTTTTTCATGTAAAAATTCAAGAAATACTTGACTGCAAGTGTTTGATTTGTACTCATTTCGGCTCACATTTTTTGCTGATCATTTTTGTTAACTTCAATCATTTGTACATATGGATTTTTTATTATTTATAATCCAGATGCTATTTCCAAGTATAATGAATCGTCGCACTTATTTTTTCAACGATTTTTATATCTACCAAAACTATCGGCGGTTTTACTTCAATATTTGTATAATATAACATTTTGACTTTCGTTTTCATTCTTATTCTTTGCTATTATATTTTAATTTTGTGTTATATTTAAATTCAATTTTCATCAATTAAGAACAATCTCATTAGCAAGAGATTTGATAAATATTAAAGACAGAAATTGTTGATGTCAAATACTGTTTGAACGAAACTTAACGATACAACAGAATGTTGACATTGTGTTGATGCGTCTTAAATCGCATCGTGGCGTCATTATGTGCACGCGTATTCGCTTCTATGCATAATATTCGTGGCTATGTGAAAAATTTGACACACTTCACTGTGGCACACAATCTATGCGCGTTTATCCGTACAAATCACATATATGAAAAAGAGTAAAAAGTACTTCATACAATGGCAACTAAATAGAAACGATTTTAATTGGCACTTGACAATTTCCTATTTTGCCGTAGTTGGAAATCGTAAACACAAATCACTTGAATCGAACGTGGATCCATAAAAAAGCCAAATACGGTAAATAATACCCACTTGTCTTTATGATGTTCAACAATGTTTTTGTTTTCTACAAATTGTCGTTTTACATAATCTTTGATAAGAACTCCAACCAATATAGGGAAATAAAAATCAAAGCTATGCAATAGAGTATAAAATAAGTGTGCGCACTGCTGCCAACTTAACAGTTAGTTTTGAATTAATATTGTGGTACTTGCACATTTTGTATTGTATTTAACGTGTATCAGAGCCAAACATATTGAATCGGAAAGTAAAGAAGAAATCATAAATTAAATCGTTTGCTTAATTTAGTCGTTTCAATGGTTTAGTTTAAAAAGCAACAGATATGAGACGATCATTCGCAATCGTCCCTTTAGTTGGGGCATGTGTCCTTGATATAGGTGTTCACGGTGCGTTTAAATCAATTTCATTGAAAGCCAGCCTAGAGCAGCAATTATGGAAATATTTTGCAAATGGTCAGCTATGGAACATCAATCTCATTGAACCTGTTTGTAATTCTTACGATCAAAATCTATTCCATTGGTTCATTTAGGCAACCTAACTGGCGTACGAGCACTTATTGAACAGGGTGTAAATGTAAATGCTGCAGATTACGCTGGATTAACAGCACTTCATTTTGCATCTAGTAAGTCGTTAGCACATCTACATTCGTGTCCGTCAATAGTGTAAACTCGATGTTATTCTCAAGTTCAAGTCCATTTTTGTGGCGATTCATAATGGTTATATTGTTCAAAAATTCTGACCCAACGGACGAATCGTATATAAATTTTCTAAACATGTATCAATTGACTATTACTGAAAATACCACACATTGCCTTTTCAGGCCATGCGGATATAGTTCGATTACTTATCGAAAAAGGTGCGAATGTCAATGTTGAAAACAGATTTAATGAGACACCACTTCATCGGGCAGCTGAATATGGTATATCTTTCACACGTCCCAATTAAAAGTGTCCCTTTCCATTGGCACGACTCTCATTATTTTTGCAGGCCATGTGGAAACGGTTCGAGTACTCACCGAGGAAGGTGCGAATGTCAATGCTGAAGACCAATTAGAAGAGACACCACTACATAAGGCATCTGGGAGGATGGGTAAATCATTTACATATCTCCATTAAAAGTATTTTATTGCAGTTTCTTCAGATGGTTGCTCCAAGAGCAATATAGGGGTAAACGGGGCTATTCGACGCACGGGGCAAACCGACGCAGTCGAGATATCTCGAAAACGACAAACGTCAGGTACCTAGTGTCATGTATCGTTAGCTTCGCCATTTTATCCTTCACATTTGGTGTGTATCACTTGTCGACATTAGTATCTCACAAACTGTACAGAGCGACAAATATGTTTTTGGCTACCCATGACTTGATTTTTCTTGCCCACAACATTTCGATTTTTTTCAATAAAATTCGAGTTCTCTCAATTGAAGGTAGTCATTTTTCATAATTGATGTCAAGCACTTTCACGTGGAAATATGTGCTTTTGGTGTTTAACCATTTCTTTTCGATGAACATAGTTTGAAATATGAGCATAAATCGGAGAAATGTCTTAATGCCGTTCTTCTTCGCATTTCGTCATATTCTTTGGATTCCTAGCAACTTTTTCATGTTCTGTATGTTTCAGCCAGGAGATAAATTGATCTTGATTCCATTCTCTCAGCTCATAAAATGAGATACAATTGGAGAGAGACGCGCATGATACGAAAAATAGTCGTCGGAGTAAAGATAGTACCCACTGCAGCTAAGAAAAATACGGCTACACCATTTTACATTTTTATCCATTTCTCAAATGATATTCTCATATCTTATTGATATTCATAAACTTCGTAGAACATAATAGATTTTATTCGATTACTTGATTTTGAGATAATTGACTTGAAATACGGTGAAAATACGAGTGCGTCGGTTTGCCCCATATGGTGCGTCGGTTTGCCCCGGCTGCGGCGGTTTGCCCCGAAAAAATGGTGGTCAGAAAATTGGCCAGAAAACTTTCTGGGTGGGTCACACACCATAAATGTTATGCATCAAAATATTCGCATTTACAATACCTATCATGTGATAAAACAATGAGTCAGATTGCATGGCTAGGTCGGGAGATTTTAAATAGTTAAGAAAAGTGCGTCGAATAGCCCCGTCCTCCCCTTCCACAGCCACACCGATAGCAATGTGTTGAAATATACATTGTAGAGGTTTCATTGCCAATTTCAAGTGTATACCAACACATAGAAAAGTACGCTGCGACAAGATGTTCCTAGTGGCATGTACCTATGCTCTTGTAGCAACGGTGTGAGTTTCTTTCATTACTATCCAGGCACTCTGGAAATGGTTTGAATTCTTATCGAAATGTAAAAAGAAAAAGAGAAAATACTATTTAAAATTAAATGAATTATTTTTTTAAATCAAAATGTAAAATCGAAACGTAATAGGTAGAAAATGTGATTGGGTTTTTTTGTATAAAAGAAAAACCGTTTTTTTTTACCTAAATCAAATAAAATACTATCAAATCTTATGTAATTTTGGCCGATTGAACCAATACATTCGAAACATTGTACCCATGCAATATATTTGTTCACGGGCCACAGTCTCATGTTTGATAATTATCTAGTCTTTATATGGATTTTAATCGTATCTAGAACATAGACTAGCATAAATTGTAAAAGTATATCATTGTTGGAATAAATTGTAAAATGAATTGTATGAGAAATATTCAGTCTGTGATTAGACGGTGTAATGAACAATAATAGCTGATGTCATGCAACTGATGAATTCTCTTCGATTTGTGGAAAAAAGTTGTTCAGTCTAGACAATAGCGAAAAGAATTCTTCATACTGATTTCAATACAAAATGCATCTAAAAAGGATTTCAATGTTCAACCATATTTTAAATATGGGCCACCGAACAGACAACACGAATCAAATTACATACATTATCATAGCAATAAATAAAAGAGTTGGAATATTAGGCATGATATGAATGGACTTTGTTTACTTCATGTTAC